TTGTATATGTGAACCATCTTTACATACTTGGAATAAATCACATTTGGTCATGGCATATTATCTTTTCAACATATTTTGTTGGTTTTCTAGTATTTTGCTGAGAACTTACGCGTGTGTGTGGTTTTTTTTTTTAAGATTTTTTTATTTATACAAGCACTGGGTACAGTCAGAAGCGCGGGAGGGTGAGAGAATTCACCTGAGCAGGGAACAGAACAGGCAGACTGATAAAATACACTGCTGAGGAGAGCAGCAGGCGCAGCAGGAGAGGTTGCGCGCCATGTGGGACCCTCGCCGGTTGCCGGGGATCGAACCAGTGCTGCAGAGGCTGTGGGCAGCTTCGCAGCCCAGCGCCCAACAACTGCGCCACCAGGGGAGGCCCAATTTTTGCATGAGTTTTCATCAGCAATGCTGGTCTGTAATTTCTCTCGTGTGTGTGCGCACTCAGGTGCATGTACATATGTGACGTCCTTGACTAGTTTTATTATTAATGTTGCCTTCGTAGAATGCATTTGCAAGTATACCCTCAATTTTTTTGGAGGAGTTTGAGACCTTAGTTCCTCTTTGAAGGTTTGGTAGACTTCACTGGCAAAGCCATCTGGTCCTAGACTTTGTTTTTGGGAGATTTTTTTTATTACTGTTTCAGTATCCATAATTGTGATTGTTCTGTTCAAGTTTTCTATTTCTTCCTGGTTTGGTCTTGCAAGGCTATATTCTAAAAATGTGTCCTTTCTTCTAGGTAGTGGAATGTACTAGCGTATAGCCCATCACTGTCTCTCCCAGTCCCAAATGTCTCTGTAGTGGCCATTGTAATCTCTGCTCTTTCATTTCGGAGTTTGAGCTTCTCTTTTCTTTCTAAGTGTAAGTAAGTTTGGCCATTTTTTTTCTCTTCGGTGTAATCCTCTTGGTTTCGTTGATTTTTTTTTTTTTTAACTTCATCTTTTTGGTTTCAGTTTCATTTATTTCTGCTCTGTCCATTATTTCCTTCCTCCTAACTTTTGGTTTCATTTGTTGTTCTTTTTCAAGAGCCTTTAGGTGTAGGGTTAAATTGGTTTTTGAGATTTTTCCTATTTCTTGATGTAAACCTGTATAGCTACTAACTTTCCTCTGAGCATCACTTTTGCTGTATTCCATAAGTGCTGATAACTCATACCGTCATTTTTGCCTCCATATTTTTTTTTTTTACAAGTAGAAAGGCACTTTATTGATTTGTTTGTTTGTTTGTTTATTTATACAAGCACTGGGTGCAGTCAGAAGCGCAGGAGGGTGAGAGAATTCACCAGAGCCAGAGCAGGGAGCAGAGCAGGCAGAAGGACCGAGGTACACTGCTGAGGGGAGCAGCGGGTGGCAGGAGAGGTCTGCGCACCATGTGGGACCCTCCTCTGGTGGCCGGGGAGCAGCCTGGGATCGAACCGGCGCCGCAGAGGCCGCGGGCAGCTTCGCGGGCAGCGCTCAACCGCTGCGCCACCGGGGAGGCCCCGCCTCCATATTTTTTTGATTTCTGCTTTAATTTCCTCATTGACCCAATGATTATTGAGAAGCATCTTGCTTAATCTCCACATGTTTGAGGTTTTTCCAGTTTTCTTCTTGTGGTTGATTTCTAGTTTTAGAGCATTATATCAGAGAAGATGTTTAGTATGATTTCACTCTTCATACGTTTGTTGACATTTGATTTCTGTCTCAACATAGAGCCTGTTCTTGAGAATGTTCCATGTGTGCTTGAGAGAGTAAATTCTGCTGTTAAGGTAAATTCTGTAAATTCTCTGTTAAGGTGGGATGTTCTATAAATGTCTATTGAGCCCATCTGGTCTAGTTTGTCATTTAGGGTTCTTGTTTCCTTATTTATTCTTTTGTTGATCTGTCCCTGGTTGTAAGTGGGGTGTGAAAATCCCCTACTATTGATGTGTTGTCTTCAGTATTCCTTTTTAGTTCTATTAAGAATTGCTTGATTTTGGGCCTCCCCTGGTGGCGCAGGCAGTTGAGCGCCATACTGTGAAGCTGTCCGCAGCCTCTGCAGCGCTGGTTCGATCCAGGCAGGCCAGCGAGGGTCCCACATGGCGCAGCAGACCTCTCCTGTCTCACCCGCTGCTCCCCTCAGCAGTGTACTTAGTCAGTCTGCCTGTTCTGTTCCCTGCTCTGTCTCTGGTGAATCCTCTCACCCTCCTGTGCATCTGGCCTGTACCCCAGTTCTTGAATAAATAAATAAAAACAAATCTTTAAAAAAATAATAATAATAAAGAATTGCTTGATTTTGATGCTTCACCATTTGGCTCATATATATTAATAAGTGTTATATCATCTTGGTGTATTAAGCCCTTAATAATTATATAATGTTCATTCCTGTCTCTTATTATCTCTTTTAGCTGGAAGTCTCATATAAGTATGCCTATATGCCTTTTTTAGGTTACCATTTGCCTGTAGGGTTAGCTTCTTTTAATTTGAGCCTATATTTGTCTTTAGAGCTAAAATGAGTTTCCTATAGGAAATAAAAAGTTGGTTTTGTTTCCTTGATCCATTCAGCCACTATATACATTTTAATTGGTGATTTTAGACCATTAATATTTTGGGTAATTATTGAAATGTACGTATTCATTATCATTTTTTAATTATTTTTTGCCCTTTAAGCCACCCCCAATCTCTGGGTGACTCTCTTGCCCACATAAAGACCCCAGATTCAACTCTGACTACCCCCTCCACATTTCCATAGCCCAGGAAGGGACTAGTTCTGCTGCCCCCACAGCCCTGGAGAAATTGAGGCCCATTCAGGGTATGACCTTTGCTTAGTGGGTGGACTCACAGCGTCTCCTCGCTTTCGTCAGTGGACTTTGGGGCAGGAGGGCAGGAAAAGGCCCTCACTACTCCAGCCCCTGAGACATGGGAGCATGACTGAGGAGGTGTCCTGTCCTCCTGGCAACACCTGGCACAGCCTCACCAGAGCCTGCACACACACACCATTCAGAGGTTCCAAACCTTTTTTCCTTCTCATTATGTCCTAGGAACAGTACTCGTATTTTTACTAAAAGATTTTCTGGATTACTTGTTTCTGAATTTCCCCACTATTTTCATTCCTTCCACCCCTGTATCTTCTACATCTGTCTGTAGTTACCAGCATGTCAGCTCATCTCAGGCGGCACAGAGAACATGTTACACTCAGGGCTTTTGTAGCTGGTGGATGGAAGAGTGAAAGCGTTAAAAAAGGATGCTGAAGTTTGCAGTTCAATATCAACAGCAAAGACAGGAAGAAGCAAAGTGGGTGATGTGGCACTTGAGCTTGGTCCTTGCCAGCATGGAGACCTGAGCGTCTGGTTTGCCCTGGACTCCCGCTAACAACTGGACCCTGTTGTGGGGCTGGATTTTACCTCTCCTGTCGGGCATTCTGATTGTGCACTTTGGGTTGTGGAGGAATGGGGAGCCATTTCTGTAACTGGAACTTGCGAGGTTCCAAGATTCACTAAGGTAACTAATTATACTAAAATGTACTATGAAGGAAAAGTGAGTTATAAACTGATGGTACCAGAAACAAACTTTTTTTTTTTTTAACTTTTTTTTTTAATACTTTTTTTTTTTAATAGAGGCATGTTTTTATTTATTTGTTTGTTTGTTTGTTTGTTTGTTTGTTTTGTTTATACATGCACTGGGTACAGTCAGAAGCGCAGGAGGGTGAGAGAATTCACCAGAGCCAGAGCGGGGAGCAGAGCAGGCAGAGGGACCAAAGTACACTGCTGAGGGGAGCAGCGGGAGGCAGGAGAGGTCTGCGCGCCATGTGGGACCCTCCTCCGGTGGCCGGGGAGCGGCCGGGGATCGAACTGGCGCCGCAGAGGCCGCGGGCAGCTTCGCAACCCAGCGCTCAACCGCTGCGCCACCGGGGAGGCCCCAGAAACAAACTTTTTTTATATATCACTAATCTGTCAGTGTTTATGGTGCTTTATTTAGAAGTTTAACTTTCCATATTAACCATATGGGCATTAAAATGGACCGTGCTCTAAAGAGTTTTAGGTATTACTAGAAAACACGTGTTGTTAAAACACAGATTTTTATGACGTTGAAAATAAATGGAGCCTGGGTCGATGGAGAGGTGACGGGCACGTGAAAGTGGAAATCGGGGCCTCCCTGGTGGCGCAGGGGTTGAAGACAGCGCTGTCAAGCTCTCGGCAGCCACTGCAGCACGAGTTTGATCCCTGGCCTGCCAGGGAGGTGACCCACACGGTGGAGCAGACCTCTCCTCTCTCCCTGCTGCTCCCCTCAGCAGTGTGTATGTGTGTATTTCAGTAGATCTGCCTGTTCTGTTCTCCACCCTGGTCTCTGGTAAATCCTCTCACCACCACCCCGCCCCCGCATCTCTGGCCTGTACCCCAGTTCTTGTATGCATAAATAAATCTTTTTAAAAAAAAAAGTGGAAATCAGAGGAAAAGGTGGGTCAGACGAGGGACTTAGCCACTCCCTGAGAATTGCTCCTTACTCAGGTCTTTGTAAGTCCAGACAACTCAGAGAAATTGCAGTGTCCAGTCCTGGGCTCACAGCCGGCCATCCTTGCTAACATGCTGCCCTCTCTCTGGAAATGGCCCCTGTTCTCTCCCCGTTGCGTGCAGGGGTGTTGGGGAGCCCGGCGTCAGGTGTTACCCAGCATGGGGCAGCAATACCTGTCCATCGTTTCCAGTTCTTTCATCCCCGTGTCTCCTTCGCAATCACACCCTTCTCTTTGCTGGCCCTTGGGACATGCTCCCTGGCTTAAGGGTCTCCCATCCTGCAGAGACCCTGGCCTGCCCACCTGTCGTCGGAGAGGTAGACGGCTGGGAGCAAGCAGCTCACAGTGGCCGTCTGTCTCTGACCAGGTGCAGTTTTGAGCCGTCGTCTCCTTGGGCCCCACCCTGCTTCTGGGGATGAGAAAAGGAGCCTGATAATCTCTGGAAGCAGCTATTCCTAGAATTACTTAAGTTTTTTCAAATGTTCTCTGTAAATATTTTTCATGTCCTGGTTATAATTATAGAATATGTGGATTTTAGTTTGCAGTTAACATGTTTCGAACGTTACCACCTTCCTCCAATCCTACGGGAGCAGAATTTGACCCAGAGGAAGATGAGCCGACGTTAGAAGCAGCCTGGCCTCACCTGCAGGTACCAACCCTGGGAGGGCCCGAGTCGGGCGGGACCAGGTATGGCTGTCTGCAGTGGTCCTCGGTGCCAGTGGCCAAGACCCTGCAGATCCCGCCTGCCAGGACTGTATGTAGCAGCAGGAGAGTTCTTGCTCCTTTGATGTGGGATGCCGACACAGACTTAAGATACACAAGGTTGGCATGTTCCCATGGAAGCGACCGCCTCACTGCTGCTGTGGAATCGAGGCTGGAAGTTGGCAAACCTTTCCCCCATCTGCACACATCGATTGATGGTGTGCCCCCCGTGGCCCCAAGCATGCGGGCACATTTGTGGGAGAAGGGTTGATGGGCGAGGCTGACCCTGAGGCCATGGGCCAAGCCTGAGCAGAGAGTGAGCAGTGCTCAGTTGGGAGGTCTCAGCTGGTTCTGGAGTGGGTTGTGGAGAGGGGAGGCCAGAGAAGGAGCTCCGTGAGGGAGAAGGCAAGGGAGGGATATCCTGGCATAAACCCCCTCCCTGCCCTGGGTGTCTGCATGACCACCACAGCATGCGGCCCTAGGCAGGGGAGGCGGGCCGGACTCTGCCGGGGCCCCCAGCAGCGTGATTGAGACATGGTGACATCAGCCATGGAAACTTGTGTTGCAAGGCCGTCCCGGGATAAAGATGTCCAGTTTAAGTAGGAAAGACATAAATCTTGTTTGGACATGCCCAATGGAGTAAAAGTGATGATTGTATAAATAAGGGTGAAACTTGCACAGCCGACCACGCTCCAGTACCCACATGGCATGGCCCGCTGCAAACCAGACAGCAGCTGCCTGTCAGGCCCTCATGGCTAGGAAAGCTGGCAGGTGGGGTGAGTGAGCAGGCAGCCAAGCTGTGCCCCTGACAGCTGTCAGCCAAGAGCCGGCCGGTGGCCTCACCACAGTGGAGGGCACAAGCAGCGGCTGAAGCGAGTGGCCACTTTTCTGCCCGGCAAGGTGGGCTGTGGCCAGCAGACAGGCCCCATGCCCAGGGAAGGAGTGGTGGGTGGGGGGTTCGTCCAGATTGGGGGGTTGTCTCTGGTTCTTAGTTAAATAAATCACCATCATCAGTTGTAACAAAGCCACATTGATTTGTGTTAATTCTATGGATTCCTGACTTTTTAAGAGGTTAGTATTTACAGACAGCAGATTCCACTCACGGGGTGTTTTTGTCTTTGTAAAAATACCAGGATATTTGACTCATTGTTGTTTTTCCTTCTTCCTAGCTTGTTTATGAATTTTTCTTAAGATTTTTAGAGTCTCCAGATTTCCAACCTAATATAGCGAAGAAATATATTGATCAGAAGTTTGTATTGCAGGTAAGGCGCCAACTAGCTAAGCACGAAGCCCCAATCTGCAGCAATGCGGAGTCACTGAGTGTCTTTTTCTTCTTGAAGCTTTTAGAGCTCTTTGACAGTGAAGATCCTCGAGAGAGAGATTTTCTTAAAACCACCCTTCACAGAATCTATGGAAAATTCTTAGGCTTAAGAGCTTACATCAGAAAACAGATAAATAATATATTTTATAGGTAAGTCAGTGCGCGCGGCCCACCCTGCTGCCCGGCAGCCTCGTCCTCGGCGTTCCTGGGATGCGGTGCGAGGGCCCGTGAGGCTGGTTACGCGGCCTGCTGGGTGGGCATGGGTGGCCTGGTCTACACCCGACTCTTGAGCCAGCAGGCCCAGCCCCTGCCCTCACTAAGCGTGGTCTCAGGACGGGTGGGAGAACCAGCCTGCCCAGAGCTGCTGCCTCTTTCCCCTCCCACTCATCTCCCCACTGAGTGTCAGGCACCTGTCCTGGGGTGGCAGCACCCCGTGTGCCCTAGAAGAGGGGCGCTGGCCAGAGCAGCCCGAGGCAGGACCACGGGCGCCAGTGACTGGGGAGCTGGCCCAGAAGTGACCCTGTCTGAGCTCACAGGATGGAGGGGCTGCCCCACACCTCATGGAAGAACATTCCAGAGGCACCTCAAGTGCAGCGCTTACTGAGGTCCTCCTTCATCTGGTTGGCTGCTGCCTCTCGACAATTCTTGTGATCCTAACGCCCTCCAGCCTGCCCCTGGGTGGCATGGGTGCAGGTGCTCTTTGGTGAGGTGTCAGGCCCAGCTCCCAATCCCTCCTCCCCTCTCAGCTTCCTCCCACGCCAGCACTTTAGCTACCCGGTTGTGGTCCTCCTGGAATTTTCTTTTCCGCCAGCCCTTCTCCCAGACTTCCAGAAATACCCCTCCACCAGGACAGTCCCCAGTGTGGGGACATGCTGCCTCCTGTGAGGCGGTGTGAGGGGCTGTCCCACGCCCTGGGCCAGCCTGGGTCCAGGCCCCGTGGTGCACCAGATAAATACCCATTAATGTAGTGTCTGCCAGCCCCAGAAAGCTCACCAGCAGAGCACATGCTACAGAGGTTGGACTCGGTGCTCTAGTCCAGGGAGCTCATGGTGTCACATCTGGCACTGACATTCCCCTGTGACGTAAGAAAATGGCAGGTGCCACGCTATCTGGCTGCACAGCCTGAGTGAGGGCAACTGCCACCACCTGGATGAAGCACTAACCAGAGACCCATTGAGAGGGCAAGGAAGCGGAGGGGCAAGGTGGGTAGGCAGGAGCTCAGCGGGCAGTCTAGGTCCCAGCACCAGACCCTCTCACTGCCCCCCCCTCCCGCCGCCCCACCTGCAACCCTTAAAGCCACCTCGCCTGCCCTTCTGTGTCATCTTCTGTCTGTCTGCACCTTCACACCTGGCGCAGCATTTCTGTGTGGTCGAGCGGTGTGTGTGGCATTTCTGTGATCCCAACCCATGTTGCCCACACCCCACTGTATCGTGGAGCAGGGCTAGCTAGGCACATGATTGAACCCCGAGAAAGACATGGTGTTGGCTACAGCGTTAACACTCCTGTCTCGTGAAGCATTTCACGCAAGGTCACTGGAGGGCTTAGCTGTGGAAACACACGGTGTGTTGTCTGAATAGCACAGAGCAGGTGCAGTCTAAATTCAGTCTCAAATTAATTGGGTGTGTTCTCAGCACATGGGTTATGTTCAGGAAGCAGAACCATAGACTGGCTGCACTGGTGGGGCGGGGAGCAACTCTGGCCCAAAACTGCCCAATTTAATAACTGAGATACTGAAGTAAATGGTTATTCAGAAATTATTAGTAATTGGTTCAGTTCTCACTCAGTGTTCAGAGCCAGGCAGGGCATTTAGTTCTGTTTTCTGGCCATCTTTTCTCTTGCTGGACAGTCACGGTGAGCGTGTTGCTGAGGCCCCATGCAGCTCTGCGACTCACGCCACCCCTCCCCACCTCACCTGGGCTCCGTGGACACGGTGCTCTGGCTTCGAGGCGGGCGGGGTGTCCTGGGCTCTCCGAGCTCCACCCTGCCTGCACCTGTGACTGACTTGGGCCTGCACACACATGGGCTTCCCTGCCAGGCCACAGACCACAACCTGCTTTCCCCTTCTTGTCAGTCAGAGCCACTGGCCAATGAAAGCCCAGACCACAGAGGAGCGGGGATGCAGGCCACCACCCACCATCCCCGTGAGGCCCTCCAGGACACCGCATAGGCAGCCACAGCCTGGCTCCACCTCCCACTTGGCCCTTTTGCCTCCTGCAACCATAAGGAGAACCATGCTCCTGCTCTTGGTCAGCCCCGCTTCACATCAGGTTAAAAGGATTCGCAGTAAGGAGTGCACAGAGCAGTGTCGACAGAGGATGGAAGCTAGCTTTGCCCCTGGAGCCGTCCCTGCATGCCTGTCACGGCTGGTGGCGTGCCGCCACTGCTCAGCCTCGGCCCACGGTGCGACATGGTCCTTCTGGGTTCCCAAGGCCCGGGGCTGACCACCCTTAAGCTCTGCAAATAAAACGAGCAGTTGGGGACTCAGACAGCATTTTGTCACAGCTGCATCCACGTGGCAGGACCACGAGAGCCTGGCTGCCCTCAGGCGCATTTGGCCCCGGCTGCGGTAGCATAGGGCGTGAGGGGCACGAGGGAGCCCACACCCGGCCTCACCAGCACGTTCTTGACCCCTGAGGCTGCCAGGCCGAGTGGGACTGTCTCAGTGTGCCCGCCTCTGCTCCTGCCCCATTTCACAGGCCATGTTCTGGCCTCTCCATGCTCCCATTTTTCAAGACCTGTGGAAACTTTCCCTTGGGGTAACTTGGGCCCAGCCACAATGACTGGTCACTTGCAATATGGGGCTGTGATTCCAGGCCTTCAGGACATTTCATGTCTGTGCTGTCAGCAACTGCCCCACTGTCCCAGGAGGACTGTGGACCTGCCATCAGGCTTCCTACCAGCCATACTCTGTTCTGGGCCGAGAACTGTCTCTGAGCTAACCACGTCCTTCCCACAGGCAGGAAGGGGGCAGGCAGAGCTGGCGGTGGCTTTCCTGGAGTCCTTGGAGGAGACCTTTTCCTTTCCCTGTCCCAGTTTATTCACCAGATGTGTTTCAAGCATGAGACAGATACCAGGCTCAGTCCCAGCACTGGGGACACAGTGGCAACGGGACCTGGTCCCTACCCTCAGCCAGGCCAGGTGGCCACCTTAAAGCACTTCCCTTATTGAGAGGATTTTGCCCTTTGCAGCTGCTATTTCAGCACCTAATTCTAAATGCCATTGCTTCCTCCAGGTTTATTTATGAAACAGAGCATCACAACGGCATAGCAGAGCTGCTGGAGATACTGGGAAGGTGAGTCCTCTCTGCTCTCGCTGCCAAGGGCCTGGCACAGAAGTCACAGCAGGAGCCCCCGGGCTGAGCCCAGCCACTCTCTGGAGCAGGGTCACTAGCCCATCCTGTGAGGGCTCAAGTGCAACAGCACGGGGTGGGGCAGTCACCGGGCCCCAGGGTCTCACCAGGCGCCCCCACCCGCTGGCGGTGCTATACTCGTCGGCGGTGGCAATCCTGTGGAAACACAACTGCGATTCTTTTCTCAAGGGCAGTGTTAAAAATAGTTATGTGAGGAAGGTTTCCCATTCAGCCAAGAGGAACAGGTCTTTTATTACACATTCTGGGTTTTGAATAGTAAAAGCTCATTCTACTTTGCTTTGACTTCATAAAGTTTTCATCACACTTGCAAAGTAGTTAACACTTTGAAAATTTCATCTTAATCCAAGTAAAGTTCTTGTTTGCTGTCTTTTTTTCTCAAATCAGTGACCTACAGGTTTTTATCAGGCCTCCTACACGTTCCCCAGACAGGACTCCCCAGCTGCTAAGCTGGGAAGTACTTATTGCCCCCGCCACCCTGCCACTGACCTTCCGCGCTTCTTAGCAGCCTGGGGTCCTGGGTCCTGCGGGAGTCACATACTCAGTGATTCCCAGAGAGTGTGCCTGGAGGACCCCTTTGTGGTCTGGTTGATCTGGCCAGCAGTTCTGGGGAACCCCCCTCACTGTTCTAGATGTGACTTGAGAAGCTGTTAGTCCTCGTGGAGACATCCTCACCCAGCCCCACGTGCCAGCATGCCATCTCCGCCAGTGCACGCTGAGTGGCCCACCTGCTGGCCGCGCCATTCGGCGGTGCCCCAAGTTTGCTCCTGCTCCCCTGTCCTGGTGCAGAAGGGGCTAGAGTAGTCACCCCCAACGCTGTCTCCTGTCAGCCTCCCTGCCACGTGTCTCCCCTGGCCTCAGCGCCCCCCACTGGACCCATGCCTCACCCTTGCAGAAGAGGCCTGGCCTTGAGGGTGGCCCAAGTGGGCGAGTGTTCTCGATGGGCGCCGGAGGCCAGCCCTCATCTGTGCCACGTGCCTGAGGCCCAGGACCACAGAGGAGTCCAGGGGCTGCTCTGACTCCCCCGCAGCTCCCAGGAGCTCTGTCTGCGCCTGCCTGATGAGAGGCCCTTGATGCTGGAGGTGACACTGCAGGTTGGGAGTGATGGGTCCTCCTTTCTCTGTGGGGGAAGCAGCTCTCACTGATCTTAAGTGCGTGCGTGCACACACACACACTCACTGATCTTCAACACACACACAGAGTCAAGAGCAAGAATTTCTCAGAGAAAGTGTGAATTGCTAAAGACAGGTGCAGGCTGAGGGAAGGTGGTGTGTGTGAGTAGTCCTGGCATGGGGTCCCCCACCTTAAGCAGCCCAGACCTTGTGACGCACTCCCTGGGTGGCACTGTGTGACGCAGTCACAGAAGTGCAGGTGACTGCTCGGGAAGGTGTTTCATGCTCTTTGCAACCTGTCTCTACCCTCTTCTCTGCAACCCCTTCACTCCCTGGCTCCCACACTGGGAACAGAAACAAAGCAAAACACCAAGTTTTTATTATTTTCATTTGTAAATATTCAAACTTTGAGTTATTTCTGTTTTCACAGCATAATCAATGGATTTGCCTTACCACTCAAAGAAGAACACAAGATTTTTTTATTGAAGGTGTTGCTGCCTTTGCACAAAGTGAAGTCTCTGAGTGTCTACCATCCCCAGGTAAGGGCCACCCCCACTCCACCTGGAGCACGTCTTCTCCAGGTCGCCTCCCGGCTGGCATCCAACCCTGGAACCACTGAGGGCTGAGGAGGTAGAGTTCTCTTGAGGGAGTCATAATAGCCTCTGGAGTGGGGAATTAGAGGTGAGAATTAAGCGTAGGGAAGAGCATGAAGAAGCATTGGGGAGGCCCCTTGGTGGGAGCCCCGTGAGTAAATGTGACACCCGTCTTGGGATGAGGGCACATCGTGTCTGAGACTGGGAGCCGGCCAGGGTGGGGTTGTGCCTTTTGAGAGCTGCGGCTTTTTAACCTTTCATGGCCATCTGATCACAGTTACGTGTGTGGCAGAGAGACAACGTTGTCACAGAGACAACGACCCATGGAGAGTGGTCCCCGGGCAGGCCCCAGGTCCTGGTCTCCCCAGAGAAAGGTCTGTCAGGACCGCAGGGACGCCCAGCAGCTCACAGATCCTGCGGGTGGTGACACTGTTCTTTGGCTTCACAGCTGGCGTACTGCGTGGTGCAGTTCCTCGAGAAGGACAGCACTCTCACGGAGCCGGTGAGCACCCATCAGGCAGGCCTGGGCCGTGGGGATGGTAGGACGTGGGGTGGCGGGTCTGGGAGCAGTGCCTCGAGGACATGCCCTCTGGGGTCGGAGGTGGGGGTTGGTAGGGGGGACAGCCACTCGTGCTCCACAGCGCCGGGAGGCCAGGATGTCCATCATGTTTAGCTTTCTGGATTTCTTGGAACTTTATCTTCAACTTTATCTTCATTAAACATGAAAAGGCCATGTGGCCTAGATTTAAAAGCCAGGCATGTCAGGTGCAGATCAAGCCTCTGAGGATACTATTTCTTAATCCGACCTGCAGGAAGATATACCAGGTAGGCCGCCCAGCCAAGGTAGAGCATGGTGGGTTTGGCATATTCTTGATTCATTTTTTAATTGTGGTAAATATGTATAACTTACAACTGGCTGGTTTGGGCCGCTTGAACTATATGATTCAGTGGCATTCTCCACTCCAGCCTGGCACGGCTACCACAGGGACACTGTTGCTCCAGTAAAGGCCCCGCGCCCAGCACCCCATGCATCCTGCCCTACACCCCGGCCCCTCCCAGTGCCCCATCCCCAGCACCCCCAGCTTCTCCTGCCCCGCACCCTACCAGCCGGCTCTGTCCCCAGGGGCCTGGAGGAAAGGGCGATGGGTGCGTGTCCCACATCCCGGCTCACTTCACCCAATGCAGTGCCCACAGCTGCGGCCGGCAGGGCCCGTGTCGTGCCTTTCCCTTGTGCCCATGGGTGTCCCTCATGTAGCTGTGCACGGAGCTGCCCTGTGTGGCTGCTGTGATGGGGCCTGCAGGTCTCTGCTCAGGTCCTGCTTTCAGTCCCTGCGGGCACCCCCAAAACATAGAGCTGCCGGCGGCGGCAGCCACACCGGGCACAACCCGCAGCCACACACTTGGCGTCCAGGGTCCCCACACCAGGCGGTGTCTAGCCCGTGCTCACTTTCTGCTTTCTGGTTCCAGCCTCCTATGGGCGGGAGGTGGGACCTCCTGCAGGCTTCGGGTCGCGTTTCCAGCAAGTGCTGCTGGTTGCCGTCCCACAGCTGCTTTGGCGACATCTCTAGGTTCGTTTCCTCTTGGTTAAACAAAGACGTATTAGGAGCCAGTCTAGATGTTAGAATACTCTTTTTCTAAAAGCTGCTACTTAGATAGAAAAAATAAATACTGTAATTCCTGAGTCTTTTCTGTCCCTTTACCTCTTTCATGGTTTTCTTACGAGATCATAAAAGTGAAAGTGCAGGAGGAGCAAGCTGCATGTGCCCTCCTGCTGGGCTGTCTGCTAAGGCCGCGTCCTGTCCTGCTGGGGCACCGGTGGGCAGACCTGTCTTACCCTCAGTTGCAAGATGAGCCCTTCAGGATGTGGCCCTCAGCTGCAGCCCAGAGTACCCCTTCCCGCACTTTCCCCCAGGAGTCTCCACACACCTCCAGCTGGGCTCTGTCTGACATTCTGGAAGCCTCCCAGGAAGTGGATCAAATCCACAGAGTTCAGCATCACCAAAGTACTTACTCCAGACCAGCCTGGAACATGCTGCTTCCATCCCCCTTAGCTAGAGTGAGGGCATGGTTAGGGGAGAGAGCCGGGCCAGCACTCCCAGGAAGACGCCTCATAGCTTTGTTCTCTGCAGCGGCAACACTGTCCTGATTTCTCCGTCTATGTTTGACAGCCTCCAAGCTGGAGGGTGCACGCTTTCCTGGAGAAGGCGTAAAGAATTCTCACACACACCCGGTCTTGTCTACTTCAGGGATAAAGAGGGAAACAAAAAGTGTCCCAAGTCGTCCTCTCTGGTTTTTCTTTGTGTGTGCTCCCATGCACACTGCAGATGCTGCAGGGTGCCCTGCCTCTTCTGGGACCAGGCACCTCCCAGGCCCTCCATGGCCCCTAGTCCTCCCGGTGTCCGCAGAGCCCCAACCCTGAGCCCACCCTAGCAAGCCTCAGCCAGCAGGCTTCTGACCTGCAGGTGGCGTGAAAATGACAAAGGTGGTTCGTGTCTACAGCCCCCACTCATGACAACTGGGCCCTCGCCTCCAGCGCAGCCCAAACTGCCTCGCCCCACAGGCCCAGAGCCCGCAGACGCCACATTTCCCAGCTCCCATAGTGCAGCAGACAGTGCGCCTGCCACAAAGAACGCAGTCCATTCCCCACGCTGAAGCTGCCTCCCCTGCCTTGCACATCCTTAAGCCCCGCATCTCACAAAGACATGGAGGCGTCTGGGCTCCCTTCAGCCTTCAAAGCCTGTCAGCAAGGGGCAGCGCTGCGGGGGGCTGTGCAGGCGGGGGACCATGCCTCTCCCCACAAAGACCTAGAGGACTCCAAAGTCAGCATGTGTCCAGACGTGGGATTTTTTTGATGTATAATCCACTTCAAAGACTTTGTTGCTGCCTCTTGTGACTAACTGAGACATCACTGCAGAGGGCATGGCACTGAAGGCCTGCAGCATTGTGGCACAGCTGTTGGTGGCAGGAGGGAGGGCAGCCCTTGAAGAAGAACCCCCTCGGCGGGCGCCACCCATCTCCTCAGACCGGTTGGGTTTGGCTCTGTGGCCTGGTGGGGCCAAATCCTGCTGTGCTAAGGCAGGACAGGTGCCCAGGACTTCAGGCCGCAGCCTACCAGGCTCACCAGCCTCTGCAGGGTGAGGGCTGCCACGCAGGTCGCTGAGAGCTAGCATCCGGAGGCTGCAAGCAGCGTGCAGTAAGACGCATATGCGCCAGCACCCTCCCCAGCCTCGCCCTGTGAGACAGCCAGCAAGGTTGGCCAGGTCTGGGTGCCAGATGACCCGAAACCTGAGCCTCCTGAGACGGACCCACAGGCCACAAGCCTCCAGAGGCACTGAGTGGCCAGGTCAGCTGCCTCTTAGCACACAGTTCCCGCCGTCTGGTGAGATGCCTCTTCAGCTCAGCCAGAGCGCTGGGCTTAGAAGGTGTTCTGCGTCTGTCATCTTCCTGACAGTGGCTCCAACACGGACACAGTCGCAGCTCAGTAGAAGTCTGTTCAGTGCCTTTAAGCTAAAAGGAGGAGAAAATCACCACATAATGCATTTGTAAAAAGAATTCCTTTTAGAGACGATTATGCTAGGAGCATGTTCTTTTTTATATAAATTCTGGATTTCCATGGGGTGTCATCCAGGAGCCAGAAGCACCAAAGCAGAACTGTCCTAAGTGGACGCTGCTCAAATGGGCACCTCCCCTTTCCGCCCTGTCCGTGCTGCCATGGCAGGTACAGCTGTGAGTGGGGGTGGCCCCCGCCCCACCAGCCCCGGGGTCTTGCATGCATACTCCTGCGTCCTTGCATGTAGGGGCATGCCTTGTAAGAGAGTCAGACCCTAGGAATGTTAGTAATCCATGTTGAGTCAAATCGGGTGCTGTGGGTGGGCCGTCTGCGTGGGCTGGACGGTGTAGGCAGTGTGGACACAGCAGGAGAAGAACCACTGCCCAGTGGGAACTTGCTCCCCATCTGACCTGGGCCTGGAGTATCACCCCCATACCACAAATCAGGGTGCCATGGGGCTCAACTGAGGGCACGCTTGCCCTACCGTGCCCAACTTGGGCGTTCACAGGCCCTGGCCACACAGTCCTCATGGCAGCCTCCCGGGCTAGGATCGTGGGGTCCTCACCTGTGACGAAGACCTTTGCATGTGCATGTGCGCACATGGCACAGGCGTGGATGTGCATCTACATGCACGTACTTACATGTAAGTAAACATCAAATACCTGCAGGAAATGGACATTCCACCTATGCCCGTGTGGCCAGGCCTCCTGGGCAGCCTCCCTGGCACCAGGCTCTTGCACAGTTCACACTCTGCACTCCTCTGTGGGTCTTAATCGCTCTGAATGCCCATAATTTGTTATTTTTAAAGGAACCTATTGAAATGTGGTTAATCCAAGAGTGAGTCACGTAAATTAAAACTGTGATTCTGCAGTGTATAAAAGTAGATCTACAGTTATTTTTGGAAAGATCAGCACTGGCCTTCTCCGGGGAGAGGCTGGGTGGAGGGCTCACCGTGAGCTGTTTGTCCCTAGGTGGTGATGGCCCTCCTCAAATACTGGCCAAAGACCCACAGTCCAAAAGAAGTGATGTTCTTGAATGAACTGGAGGAGATCCTGGACGTCATCGAGCCGTCAGAGTTCGTGAAGATCATGGAGCCGCTCTTCCGGCAGCTGGCGAAATGTGTCTCCAGCCCGCACTTCCAGGTATGGGGCTGGGCGGAGCGTTAAGCTCCCGGTGTTGGCTGTGCTGTGGAACAAGCTGCTGGGGCTTTTCTGCTATGAGATGCCTTCACAGCTGGTCCCCATCACTGAAAATGTCTTTCTCAGTGAGTAAAGTTGGCTTTCCGGAGTGAAACTTCCTGCCTGTGTCCGCTGTGCCCAGCGCATGCCAGTATTCTCGGCAGCAAGTGACATGTCTGGAAGCTGGTGGGAGGCAGCTCCGCTCCAAGCCACTCCCTGCACCAGCTCCTGCTCTGGCATGGACGTTCATCTCACTCTGCTCCTCTGAAAAGAGCTGGTGGTTCTGACAGTCGTCACCGCCCACTTCCATACGAGTCACTTTCTATCCCCTCTTCCTAGCCTCCTCAGACCCTTCACACCACTTCCAGTGGGCCCCCAACCCGCCCAGCCCCCATCCGCCTCCACTCAGCCAGCCACCCTACCCCTGTATCATTGAGCAGATGTTTGCTGTCACTTCACGTGAACAAGGCACAAATCTGTGTGGGAATAGCACAGCTGAGTGGGGGACTGGACAGCAGGGCCAGGTCAGGTCTGGGGTGCCACAAAGGAGTGGCACCCCCACAAGGCTGCAAGTCCTCCAGGCCCTCAGGATGGGAATGAAAACAGGTCACTGAACCCCACAAGGGTAAGGGCAAACAGCCCAGCAAGTGACAGGGCAGGCTCAATGTGGCGGGTAGTGACGGTCCAGTGAAGCCCAGTCATGTCCACAACCACGGGTTTAAGCTAAAGCCCCTCCCCCCACCGGCCCGCTCACCCCATCCCAGCTCTGCCATGGTGCATGATTTCCCTCAGGTAAATTCAGTAGCTCCCCAGGGTGCGTCCCATCCCCATCAGAAGTCCCAGAGAGGCAGGGATGTCTGCCCTGGTCATGCACGCTGATAAGCCCCTGGAGGGATGAGTCCCTCCCAGGCCTTCATTTGCTCAGACGCTGCAGGAGTGTGGAGCGAGGCCGTGCTCTTGTGGATGAGAAATCCTTGCGAAAGGCTCTCAGGGCTGCGGTCTGGAGTGACACACTTGTGGGAACCATAGTCTCCTACCCAGCGTCACTTCCCCCGGTGCAGGGTCTGGGAGGCTGCTGCCGAGCGGCTCCACAGCCCGCTGCTGTCTTGCAGGTGGCTGAGCGGGCGCTGTACTACTGGAACAACGAGTACATCATGAGCCTGATCAGCGACAACGCGGCCAAGATCCTACCCATCATGTTCCCGTCCCTGTACCGCAATTCCAAGACCCACTGGAACAAGTGAGCGGTAGCGTGTGCGCAGGCGTGTCTGCGGACGCTGCGCCCATCAGCCTGAGCTCCGGCTTTGAGGCATCAGTTAGACGTAGATGCTGCCCTGATGCCCCCTACCGAGTCCGCAGTGCAGTATGCGATAGTGCCTCGACGTGAGGGTCAGCACTCAAAGGAGCGCGAGTGGGGGTGCGCGCAGACACCAAACCACGCTGGCTCCTGCGGGCCTGGCCTCAGCAGCCATGCAGGGCCCCAGCTCTGCCCACCCAGTGTAGGGCTTGGGGATGCCGAATGGTCCCACCGCAGCTTGGGGACACCTTCCAGCCTCCCTCTGGGAGCTGTAGGTCACCACGGTGCTCGGGCTCAGTGCCCACAGGGGGCGCTACATAGTAGGGACCCAGAGCCAGGATGAGCCCCCTGAGAGGCTGGGAAGTGCCCGCTGGAGAGTGGAGATGAGTAGGTGGCCCCGACACTGCCTGAGCCTCAGCCGCAGGCCCTGCAGGGGTCTGACCATGTTTCTCCTTTTGTGTCTTTCCTGTCTGTGCTATAACCATGGGTTGGAGCTGAAAGCAGTGGAAGCAGTGCTGGGTCTGGCCCACACCCTGTCCTGCAGACGGGGAAGGCAGCCCTTCCCCTTCGTGAGCTCGAGTCTACGGGTCCTCGGCTTCAGGCGGGTGCTGACAGCAGTGCTGACAGTAGAGAAGGGGCCACTGTGGGGGACCCCACAGCCATGGTCGAGTGGGCCTCATTGGAACACCACTTCTCACAGCCTGTTCTTTGTGAGGTGCTTTTACTGAGCTGAGCAGGAGATGACAGTGGCCCGAAATGAGCTGAAGTCCCTGTGTGACTTCGTGTGACATGTGTGACCGGCAGGGGCGACGGGCCGACAGTCTTTGCCCATGATGTCAACCACCATTTGGCTGCTCGCAGTCCTGGGGTGCTTGTCCCTCTGGGGCAGTGGTCAGGGGGCTGCTAGGGCCTGTGCCAGGCTGGTCAGCTGGCCTGCATGGTACTTTCCTGCTTCATAGTGGTGCCCTGGCACGGTTGAAAGTCAGATGTTTGTGCCCTCAGGGAATAAGATTGAAAGTCAGATGTTTACCTCATTTTCTCTCGATGACTGAGTTTGTCTTGATCTCATTTGTCCGAGCTACAACATACCTTACTCGGTGTCCGAGCTAGTGGGGGGCTCTTGGCTGCTGTTAGCCAGGGACGCCGAGGCCCCCAGGCCAGAAGTACAGGGAAGCCCGGTCTTGACAGCACAGGCAGGAGCCATGGCCGGGGGCAGGACGCAGGGCAGCCAGGTCTCACGCCGGGTCTCGCTTGCAGGACGATACACGGCTTGATCTACAACGCACTGAAGCTCTTCATGGAAATGAACCAGAAGCTCTTTGACGATTGCACCCAGCAGTTCAAAGCAGAGAAACTGAAGTAAGTCGTGCCTTTGAGCCACTGCTTCTCTTAGCCCTCAGCCCTGGGAACCATCCCGCCCCCTGCCCCAGACCGGTGTATCCACAGAGTCACTCTTCACGTAAGCAGAACCAGGCCCTGGTGATTCGTTGTGATTCGTCCTCCTGGGGCTGGAGTGTGGAGTCAGCCTTTGTGCTGTCACGCTGCGCTGTCGCAGGGCGTGGGGGCTTCCCCCAACCCCGGCAGGCATGTCTCACGCCCAGAGGCAGGTTTCGGTGGAGAATCAGCATCCTTACCTCACCCAGCCTGATGTGGCTGCCATGGTGATGCACAGGTGCAGGGTCTGTAGAACCCAGCCCGCATCCTCCACATGGCCCAGGGACTTCAGAGCCACGTGTGTGCAGGCACGGAGTAGGCGTGTGGTTATTCAGATCATGTGTGCAGAGTCCGGCAGGGACAGTGGCAGGCTTTATTCTTTGCTTGTCCCTTGAAGCTGCTGGTTTCAAATTACCATGAACTGTGTGGCCAGGGTCAGGCTCACTCTTCAGACCACTGCGTCTGCCTGAAGGCCAGGCTCCATTTCAGGTTCTGGCAACAGCTCCATTTCAGGTTCTGGCAACAGTGAGTAGAACAGGCACAGCCCCTGGCCCTTAAGAAGCTTACGTTGGGAGCAGACTGGTGGGAGAAAGGGGGGAATACAAATAAGTGAAATCCGCGTGTGGGATTTCACAGGAGGAGGAGGAGGACAGTGGCCCGTCCTGACCTCGGGCCAGAGCACATGTCCTCCAGCAGCCTCGGGGCTCTCAGAAGCCATCACTCGAAAGGGAGGGTGGCCCAGGCAACGCCTGGGGGGCTGCCCTGGGGTGGAGCCATCTCCCTTCCCAGCGTTTGGTCACAGACTTGGGTTCTGGGAAGAACCAGCCAAGCAGGGGCCACGTAGATCCCCCACAACTGTCTTAGACATATCATGGGTTTAGCATGTTACGACTCTTCCTCTTGGTGCTGTCCGAGCTCCAGGCTGGGCTTGCCTCTGAGGTGCGAGGCGCAGGCACAGAGTGATGGAGGGAAACAACTGATCTGTCCTACCCTTTGACCCTTTTTATTTGATTTACTTCTCTAATACCAATGACATTTTGCTGTTTTTCAGAGAGAAGCTAAAAATGAAAGAACGAGAAGAAGCATGGGTTAAAATAGAAAATCTAGCCAAAGCAAACCCCCAGGTACTAAAAAGAGTGACATGAATGTGTCCAGGGTGTTCTAGAATGTTTTTATAAGGCAGGGACGTGGCTTTATCTTAGAGACTGCACTAACATTGTATATGGAAATACCTGCAATAAAATTACTTTTCAACTTTTGTACAAGTACTTATTTTGCCCCACAAAATTTTTACCACAGAATTGCTTTTTTTTCTTCTTTGAAATAAGATAGTGAATCTTACGAACATACTGTGGTAAAAAGAAAACCAAGGTTTAACCTCTGCTTTGGGCACAGACTGTAATTTGCTCGCTCTCTTGTGTCGGGAGTGGGGCGCATGCGTTGCTCAGCCTGACAGGACCTTCAGGAGATGGGGTGCCTTTCCCGGGGCAGTTCTCTAGATCTGCCTCTGGTGCTGACCTGGACGCCTCCCAGGGCTGCACTGACCTTTCTCAGTGACCTACCTGTGGCGTTGCCTGTGCTTGAAATAGGCCCCACATGGCACTAGCTCTGGGCTCTGGGCAGTGTGGTCAGGGCGCCCGAGTCCAGTGTTTTCAGGGTGACGTCCAGGTGGCCGGCACCTCATCACGATGCCCTCGTGCCCAGGGTGTAGTCCACTTCCTGAGAGTCACTTGTGTGAATTGCTGCCGCCAAGGATGCTCAGAGCAGACAAGAGCCCCCCTTCATGGGGCAGCTGCCCTTGCTGTCCCAGGAAGTTGTGTGATTAGGTCTGAAGCCCTGGGCTGGTTTGGTGAGGAAAGCGTAAGTAAGTATTCCCTACATTGCCGTGTGGGCTTCAAACCTGACGGTAGACGTAGCATGTGGCTACAAGGTAAACGTGACCACGTAGTAACTGATTTGTGTTTCCTTTGAGAAAACTGCCATCAGGAGCCTTAAGCATAAAGAGACTTAAAGCCCAGGGAAGTTGACTGGCATCTTGAATGCGTGCCCGATTCTGAAACAAGTAACCAGCATTTTTCTAGCAGTGTTTGTCTGTGCCCTTGTGAAGCCCCATTGTAAAGCTGCTGTGAGCCCAAGTTGTCTCTCACTCGGGAGGGTAACAGTGGGTGTCTGCGTCAAAGCGTAGACTGTGTGTCGAGAATGAGGTTAAAATGCTGGTGTTTGTCTTAACCCGCACATCTGGGTCAGGTTTATTCGGATGGGCCTTGCTCCTCCTGCCTCTGCTCGGAGTGGCCCGGTTGGGTGGGGGGTCCCTTAGTGCTGCAAGGCCCCGTCCGCACACTGACCAGAGGGAGAGGGTCTGCCTCGGCGGGTCCCACCAAGACAGCACATGGCCCGGGAGGCGCAGCAGGTGAGCACAGATGTGGGTGGCTGTCTTCTCAGACTCGTCTTCCACTCCAACCCTCCCGAGCCTGTCCTGGGTTTCCTAAGTCGCGTTCTTTCTTCCTTTCGGCTTCTCTCTTTCAAACGGTTGTGGTGGCAGCCTGAATGTCATGGAGCACCTGCCTGTGCTGTGGGGGCCCATCTCTGTGAATCCCGTGTCCGGCCCCACGTGTCCGTCTGCATGCCCCCTTCACTCACCTGTCTGTGGAACGGAAAATACTTCATGGTGAACCTCAGCTGGGCAGCAGGGCCTCGACAGTCCGGGAGATTCTAGTGGACACCTGTGTGGGTTTGCAGTGTGTTTCTGTAGCTGAGGTCGTGGGTTTTAGAGCTTGCTCTATGCTCTCTGAGAATCCGCTCAGTAGGTGTGCTGTCACAGGGAGACTCGAGAGCTGTTCTTGGGCATGTTTCTAGAAGCTTCTTGGTGCTTCCCCCTGACTTTTTTTTTTTAAGATTTGTTTTATTTTTCTGCATACAAGAGCTGGGGTACAAGCCAGAGTTCCGGGGGATGAGAGGATTTACCAGAGACAGAATGGGAGCAGAACAGGCAGATCTACTGAACTACACTGCTGAGGGGAGCAGTGGGCGAGACAGGAGGGGTCTGCTGCACCATGTGGGTTGTTCCATGGCCGGGGATCGAACTCATGCTGCAGAGGCTGTGAGTAGCTTCATAGGTTGCGTCTTAAGCCCTTGCGCCACGAGGGAGGCCCTAAATCGTGAAATATTGAAGGCTTCTACATCAGTGAGTTTTTCTGACACACCAGAAGAGGCCCGGTGGCTGTGCCACCTACTCCCCCAACCTCGGTGGGTGGTATGAAGCAGGGACGTCCATGAGGCCCTGCGGGCGCTGACCCTCTGGGGGCCAAGGCCAAGCTGGCTGCTCTCCAGAGTTGCGCCCTGGGGGCTGCCTGTCCTGAACCCCACCTCAGCTCCCTCCCGAGCCCCTTCCCCCACAGCATGCTTGCCTGCTGCCCCTGGCACGTGTGTCCTGTGGGCACTTTCCTCTGTCAGGAGCCCGAGCACCTTCGGGCCTGCCTGGCTCTCATGGCCGTTGGAGGACTCCACAAAAAACACCCCCTTTTTTTTTCTAGTAGCCAAAGGCTGAAGCGGCTAAAAACAGCCCTGCACCCCACCCGGGCACCGCAGTAGCTGTGCTCTGTCCGTCCCGCCGGACCAGATGCCCTGCCCCCAGGGGTGCCAGATGGGTGCCAGCTGCCTCTGCCCAATCCTGGGACTTGCCTGGAACCCAAAGACAGGACAAGACCCAGCTAATCTGGCCATAGCTACCTGGGGATGTGCTAGAAATGTCAGGAGGGGCCTGGGTGAAGCCTCATGGCCAGGGCAAGAGGACAGGGCCATGCCCTGGATCTTGACTAAGGGATTCACCTTCCTCAGATGGGGAGAGGCTCGTGGCAGAGAGATGAGTCTAGGAAGCAAGTTGTTGGCACCGTCGTTATGGTCGGGGACTGTGCTGGCGTGAGGTCTCCCCAGCCGCAGGTGGGGTTGATGGCCCCAGAGTGCGGGGCGGCCTGGGCAGACTTGCATCTCAGGAAGCTCTCCAGGAGCAGAGCAGCAGCCTTTGAGGGCTCGTGTGGAACTGGTGGTGCCAGGTGGGGTTAGTGGGTGCAGGCTAAGCACAGCAGGTGCCCCATGGGTGTTGGGAGAAGGAACAAAGTGAGGTCAGAGTGGGGGGAGGCGAGGGACGTGGACAGCCAGGCAAAGCCGCCTGGAAGCTGTGGTAGCACATCTAGTGGGGGGACCCCAGTGGAGTGGGTGGGGCCGGGCACATGTGCCCAGGAGGGTGAGGTTTGGGAGCTGACTGCACTCTATCCACCACACCCCAGGGGGGCGCCAGGAGGATGGAAACTGAACCAGCACAGGGCCCAGAGGAGAAGGCGGGACACAGGGCTGGGCGGCTGCTCCCAAGGCCCTGTCGGTGGGTGGGGAGGGGTGGGGGTCAGTTCCAGGGGCAGGGAATGTGATAGACTATAGCCTGGAACCCCAGTCCCTTTGAACTGCCCGTGTCAGACAGGGTAACTGGACCCCATCTGGCTCACTGCGTGCAACTTGACTACTACCCGGAGCCCAGCAGGGTGGGAGGCAGCCAAGGGTCCAGGCCTGGACGTGGGCGCCTGCCCACCCCAGCAGGGCCCACATGGGGCTGCAGCATGAAGTGTGAGCTGTTGCTTCGGCAGGGACGGTGAGGACGTGGGTCAGAAGGTGCAGTCGAGACGGGCGACTCAGCATGGTAGGAAAGAGACAAGAAAATGGGATCAAAGGGAGCAAGGATTGGCCAACTGCCTCAGAGAGAGCGAGGAGAGGCCAGGGAGAGGTGAGGCTGGGCACAGAGATTGTGCCTGGCAGGGCTGGAATCCAGGACAGGCAGCGGCCTTGCCCGCACCTGGTCAGCCCCAGCCTGGGGTCTCTGGCTGTCCTCGGTGCCTCGGGGGGGTGGGGGAGTTGGAAGCCATCTCCAGAGCCTCCTTTCCCCCCACACCCCAGAGTGACCTGGTAGCAGGAAGGTCAGCACTCTGTGGGGTGGGGACACTGCAGGCCCTGGGGGCAGAGGGGGGCCTGTCCCTGCTGGGCAAGGCCCCTGGAGCCAGCCCAGTGACCGCCCACTTTGCATTGCAGTACACAGTGTATAGTCAAGCCAACAGCGTGAGCGTCCCGGTGGCAATGGAGACAGATGGGCCTTTTTTGGAAGATGTGCAGATGCTGAGAAAGACAGTGAACGAAGAGGCTCACCAGGTAAAGGTGCGCCGAGCTCAGCCAGGACGCACTCGCTGAAGACTCAGTCAGTGACGGGACCGAGAGCCGCGCGCCTCCTCCCACGCCCCGCGGACTGGCCCCAGAGCTCAGCCTCGCAGGCACCCAGCAATGGGCAGTGCTGGGGTCCAGTATGTGCTGGGGTGCCTTCCTTTATTTTAACAGTGATAACCTTGCTCTTAACTCCTCTTTAAGTGGGAACTTGGGCAAAAAGCTGGAAGCATCGCAAAGCGTCTTGCTGGCCCCTCTGTTCCTACAGAGGCAGCCCCTCTGGAGCTCCCAGGCGGGCGGGGGACGCCACGCCGGGCCTGGTGTCCTCTCTGGACAGCAGAGCTGCAGGCTCTGGGAAATGTGTAGGACCTGGGGCTGTCTGGACCCCCTGAGGTTAGCTTCCACTGTGGTGGGAACGTGTGTTTAGAGCCCCCAATCCAGAGAGACTGAGTTCCAGGGACAGGAGAGGCAGCGGCTCAGCCCCAAAGCAGGGATTGGGCCAGGAGCCTGCCTGTATGCTGGAGCCGGCCCCCGCTTTCAGCCCATGTAAGCAAGAGTGGTCCAGAGCAGACGTGGGCATGGGTTAAAGCAAGAGTGACTAAAAGCACCCTGTGAGCTGCACCAACTGGCAGCGTATGGGGCTCGGTTCAACAGGGGTGGGGGGCCCTATTTATTTTTAATTAAAGTCAGTTCTATTCCCCACCTAACCTGATGGTGTTAGCATCTAGACCCCCATGGCGGTGTCCCCGGCGGCAGCCTAGGGCCACAGGGACTAGGGCGCGCTGAACCGTGGCAGCCTGCTCGGGCCAGGCCATCCGCCCGCAGCGCTCAGGAGTAGCAGGCTCAGAACCAAGATGAAAATTGAAAACATCTCATTTGTTACATCTTTATTGTTGATTTAGGTTGAAACTATAATATTTTGAATATACGGGTTAAATTTGAGATGTCACTAAAATTAATTTCACCTGCTTTTTTTTTTTTTTGTTTGTTTGTTTGTTTTGAGAGGATTCACCAGAGACAGAGTGGGGAACAGAACAGGCAGATGGACTGGAATACACTGCTGAGGGGCGCAGTGAGGAGACAGGAGAGGTCTGCTGTGCCATGTGGGCAGCTCCCTGGCCGGCTGGGGATCGAACTCATATAGCAGAGACTGCAGATAGCTTCACAGTGCTGTGCTTAACCCCTTGCACCACCAGGGAGGCCCCTCATCTGTGATTTCTTATACTTTTAACGTGGCTCCTAGAATATGTGAGCTCCTGGCATTTCCCCGCTGACTGGTCTCATGTGCTGAGAAGGAAAGGGCCCCTCACCCGCCCTCTGCTGCCCCGTATGACCTAGTCCAGCCGCCTCCTGTCCAGCTCGCTTCTGCCCTTGGATTAGGATAAAAAGCAGGTGAATCTGTGCTGCTTTCAGCTCAGGAAAGTTCAAAAATATGAAAAATGCAGTGGACAGACTCAGGGCACTCCTGCTAACCGTCAGTGATGCGTTTTTCTTAATCCAGTCAGACTGCATAATTTCCTCACAATGGATGTGCTTAGCCATGGTCTATTTTTAAAAGCATGAAGATCCTCCTATTCTCTAGCCTATCCAGGGAGGTGTTCATCTTCCTACTTCTTGGGTTTTTTTAACTCAGAAAGGAATTTGAGGGTTCCTTCCCCATGGGCATAGCTGAGAGTCATGAGCTGGGGGCACAAGGCCTGCCCCCCTCCCCCCCACGAGCCCCGCACCTGCCAGGGGCAGGGAGCACAAGTTAGTTTTTCAGTTTTTAAGCCAAAGTTGAAAAGGAAGCAGATGATTACAAGTTGGTTGTTGGGCATTCGATCTTTCCAGGCTAAAGGACTTTTCTTTTTGGCATATCCCTTTAACGTAGCTCGTAATTAAAGCTGGGAAAGAGCAGCTCTTCCCAGGGTGTTGGGTGTGTCCGTGAGACCCAAACCAGAGTGGGGCAGCCTTGGAGGGGGTCTGGGCCAGGCCCACAAGCAGCCCGCACCTGCCCCTGAGGACGGGAGGAAGCCGCCTCTGGCCTCTGCTGAAGGTTCCCTGGGATGGCCACGGGAGGACAGGTGTGGGGGCTTCCAGAGCCCTAGCCTTTTGTTTCTGTGACCCTTGAAGTCTGATCACCTGACCAAGTTTTCTGTACAGTTCACCCTGATCTTTACATTCATCTGGATCAAATTCCTGGGTCACAAGACTCAGTGCCATTTACAGGCGGGTTCTCCCCAGAGTCACCTCAGTCAGAATCCCAGCAGGCTTTTTAAAAATAAATTGACAAGCCGATTCATCTGGAACTGAACATGCAAAGGACCTAGAATAACAAAAACAACTCTGAAAGCAATAAAGTTAGGAAACTAACACTGTCCCAATTTTAGGGCATCATAGGTTTCTGTGAAGCAATTAAAATGTGCTCCTGGCTCAGCCTGCCTGGCTGGAGATACACCGTGTGGGGCTCGGGTGTGATTTCTGACGTGACCAACTAATCTTTGAGTATTCTGAGTCCAGAGTCCTGAAACTCCCCACAACGCAGCTTAAGCAAAAAGAAGACACCAAGATGGGGGGAAATTCATGTGCATGGTTTGGAGGCCAGGCTGACATATGCTATAGCTAAAAGTTAAGCTTTTGTTTTTCATATTTAGTAATTTGAATATTTTAATTTTTTAAGTTTACTCTCAGCCAATTGTACTTTGCTGAATAATTACACACTCCTTTGAGCTGAGTGCCACTGGCTGAGCGCACATGATGATGGTGTCTGGGGACGCAGGGGCGGGAGGGGGGTGTCTTGCTGCTGGGGAGCGGCGCCGGTTGGGATTTTGGCAGAGATTTCAGCTCCATGTTTGCCTTGAAGTCCTTTTAAGAGCCTTGCGTAGCGCTGTATAGAATGCCTACAGAAAACTAGTGAACTTCATGTGAACGACGTTTGCATCAGAGACATTTAAAATGTTTACAATTCTCATTTTTGACAGTCGGTCGGGAGGAAAGCAGTGTCAACCACGCAGATAAGGAAGGTGTAGAAAGACGGAAGGTGGGCAGTGAAGGTATTGCTTACTCAGTACATCGAGTGTGTTCAAGGCTTTTAAATTCGGGAAGAGAAATGACAAGAATGTCACATACATGAAGTATTTTCTCTTGTTTCCTTGTCATTCCAACTTGTGGTAAAAACAAAGCAGTGTGGTCCCCCTGAGAAATTTTGATTCGCTCTGTCCTGAATTAAGTAGTGAAAGCATGCACAATTAAGTGGGCCTGGCCCAGCAGTCTCTGCCCACTGACTGTTGAAATGCAGCTCTCGCTGGCATCCCTGAAGCCCAGACCTCAGCCATGCTGTCTGTCTGTCCTGTCTGCTTTTCCCCCTGCCAAGTGCTCCCCGCAGCCTTCCCGCAGGCCTTGCCCACTTGGGGTGACCATCTGCACACGCCTGTCTGTCCTGCCTCCTGTTTTTCCAGTCCCCGCCTGCCCCCTGTGTTTTGCTCTCCAGCCACTCAGCTGGAGCTGGAGCACCCGCGCTTAGAGGGGCGCCCGTGTGTCCGTCTGCCTATCCCCTCAGCAGCCCAGGCTGCTCGTTGTGTGTCTCCACTTGTGCTGACTGATGCCACTCAGGGGCCTGCTGCCTTTTCTATTAAAATCTCTCTTCTCTTTGGAATGCCTGTTTTAGCAGTAATTAAATATTTCAAGTATATGAAAGTCTTGGTTTTATTTTGCTTCGCTTTGTCTTTACGCTCAACATAGAAGGAACAAAAGTCAGGGTGGAATTTCTGAGTGTGTCCACCCCAGGAGGGTCCCAGCACAGTGGCTGGCGCAGACATGGCCAGCACGGTCCCCTGAGCCATCCTGCCCTCGTGTCTGGGGAGGAGAAATAAAAAGTCCTGCCTTTACCACCAATGAATAATGCTATTCAAGTCACATTTCCAGAAATAATCCTAGAACAATATCCCCAGAATTCTTTGTAAACAAAGAATATCATTGCCATTTTCATAGATTTGCAAAGAACCAGAGGAAATAGTAGCTCTGCAGAAATGTCAGCTTTCCGGGTGCGGCTTCAGTGAATCCTTGATTCTCACTAAGGCCCAATGCACTTTGCATCCCACCACTGTTAGCTGCCTGGAAACTGAGGCTCTGCTCTTTCTGTCATCAAGAGGCTGATGGGGCCGGAACAGAAAGAGAGGCCTCCAAGCCTGTTGTGCCTCCACAGCACAGTCATCACCTGGCCTCACACGGGGTGGGGGTGCTGGGTATGCACCCCCAGCACCTGCCCACCTTCTTTGCAGACAAGTCTCTAAATCCTCATGCAAACGTGGCATTCATTTAATTTTTTAGCAGTAAAACTAAAATTTCCTAAACCTTCAGAAGCAAATGGGAGAAGAGACTCTTAACAGGCTGCCCTTACCGTTAGGGTTCTTAAGTAAACAGTTTTTTCTAAGTTCAGAAGTTTCTTTTCCTCCCCATGTAACCCACTCAATACCTTTCATTTCAAGTATCTTTTTTTCAAACTTGTTAGACGTTTCAGATTTTTTTCATTGGCTCTCAACCCAGTTTAAATATATTTTTTAATCATTTTATTTCTCTGCAAAGGAGGCTGCAGATTTGTAAAATGCTTCTGTGACAAACACATGCTCTGGTAACATTTCATGAAACAGGAGGGTTTTACTAAAACCCTGAATCCCCAACACAGGGGCGCTGGCACGGCCCCTCCCCTGCACACTCTTGTCAACCCCCAGCCCCCTCTGGCCCCGGGGGCTTCTGTCTGTCCCTGCCCCCCTCCTAGCTCATTCCTAGGCAGCCTTAGAATGTAGGGCCCGGCCCTCTGCACCTGCCCTTGACCTATAGTGTAGAATCAGGTGCCCCCCCGAAGCGGGGAGCTCAGCCTAGAGCCAATGCCACTCCCTTTGTGATTCCAGGCCCAGAAAGACCCGAAGAAGGAGCGCCCTCTCCTGCGCCGCAAGTCCGAGCTGCCTCAGGACCTCCACACCAAGAGCGCCTTGGAGGCCCACTGCCGAGCTGGCGAGCTGCTGCCCCAGGATGGGCGCTAGCCCCTCGGCGCCGGGGCCCACCCGGGTTCTGTAGAAAACACCCACTTTCTGTGCCATACGAATCAGTTCCACTCAAAGTCAAATGCTTTCCGCACCCCATTCCGTAGGCAATAAGGCACTGCGCTCAGCTGAGATTAGGAGTTCAAACAATGGTGACTTCCTGGAGGCCCCAGAGCCGGCAGGCCGGGGCCCAGCCCAGGCCCCACCCCTGCCCCATGTCAGCGCTAAGGAAAGCACCCTGCTGCCCGCCCCCATCCCCCACGCAGGCAGCCTGTGACGGGCGCTCTTCAGATCAGAGGGGCCCTGTCCAAAGTCTTGCCTGTTTTTTTAAGACTTGACAACCTTGGCGATGGTTTTCTCCTGCTTGTTTTGCCAACACTTCTTTTCGTCTCACTGACGTGGTTCATTGCTTTCAGAGGCCCTGACCAACTTCCAGGGAAAGCGCCTAGAGGCCCGGCCTCCCCAGGCCTGACTGTGGCCACACTTCTCTCCCCCTAGCGAAAGCCATACTGGAGTCCGGCAGGCACCGGCCGCTGAGAAGCCCCAGAGCGGTTTCCCGTCAAAGGCGCTCCCTGTCTTACCTCGACTGGAATGAAATCTTAAAATTATGTGTTCGCTTTTCTGTTTGCAGGATTTCCTTGACTTACACACCGCTGTCCTTTCACAGGCTCCTGAGTTAATAAGCGAGAGTCCCTGAGAATTCCACATTTGGAAGAAAGTGAGGAGATCCTTTGGGGGAAAGCCAGGGCTCGGCCTGGCGCAGGCCCCCCATGTGGTGTAGCCCAACCCCTCGCCACCGCCTGCAGGCCCAGGGCCCAGAGGAACCGTGGCTGAGCCCTGCCCTCCTGCCGAGCAGACACATGTAGAGCGCTCCAGTGGGGCTGGAACGGCCCTGCTCCTGGGGGCCCTGCATGCAGACCCACACGCTCTGAGCTCTGGCTCTGACAGAGAAACCCTCCCCTCAGCGCTTTGCCTGACCTTTGTCTCGCGGTGGCCAGTGCTCTGCTGCTCCGTCCCGCCTGAGAGCTGCCGCGGTGTGCGCGCCTGCCAGCCGCTCGGTTTCCGCTTTCTGTGGCGTGCGATCCTGAGCCCACGGCCAACGGTCCTCGCACGGAGAAGGTAAAGTGTGGCTTCTCGGGGTCTGTTTTTCCTCGAGGTGTCGGGGCCACGTTCCCACCGAGAAAAGCAGATGTCCCCGCAGCTGGTCCCCTGCTGCCCGCGGTGTCCATGTGGACCCTGGGCTGCATGGGTGTTGCCATGCGTCTTGGAGGAAACTCAGGGGAGGGGATGCCTGCGTGCAGAGTGAGTTCTAGGTTAAAAGGTTGCCCTTGGTGAACAGAAACACTTCCTGAGAAACTTGACAAGTGTCTACCCATTTTATGAAATTTATCATTTAAAAAATGTTCAGATGCCTTCTCCTTTTGAGGGAAAAAGGGTGCTTTTTACTGTATAAAGCAGCGTCTCATGTATTTTGATATACCATTGTTTGAACTTCCATCTTCAGCTGACAGTCTCAGATATCCTGGATTTGGGGTGTTTGGTGTGTCTGAGAGAGTTTTCTGGGAAGACCCTCTTGTGCCCTAAGGGAAAAGCAGAATATCCATGTGTGGGTGACTGTGTAAAGCTCCACGTCCAAGAACATCTTTTTTGTCTAGGTTTTATTTCCGCTTTTTATGGAAGACAAACATTCACCAAAAAGGAGGGGAAAAAAGTTGGGAGAGAAACTCATTTTTCATTGATGAGAGTATCATTTCATATTTTGGCTATTCAAGTTTTCCTGGTTAAAACTCGGATTCCCTGTGCTAATTGTTCCACTTATACATTGCTGTATAGATACACTGATTATCTGTATCCAGCTAAGCTCAGAAGTACGACGTTGAAAATAAACTGGTGACTGTTTTTCTTCATACGGTTCTGCGTTTGGCATTTTCACTCTCCCCACAATGCATCTGTACACCAGAAATGTCACTATTCCCACTGTCTTTTTAGTGTGGCTTTAGTATGGCTTCTTTTAATATTGTACATACATTGTATCTTTGTTTTATGGTAATAAGTAATAAAAATGTAGACTTCATATTTTGTACAAAATGTCCTATGTACAGAAAAAAATTCATAGAAACAGCAAAAATAGGTAAGTGGCACAATTATTTTTCTTTAGAAGATATCTGTAACTTTATGCTTCAGTGAAATGTTAAGTACCTACATATTTTTTAACATTTTGTAATTCAGAACTTTTTGTTTTGACATTGTTTATGAAGAGAAACTTCACACACTTGCCATTTAATATGCTCTTTTATCTAATTTTAAAGAAACTCTAAAAATGGTGTATTATATGGACTAAATAAAGAACATGTGAATTTTATTGCTCATCATGAAACTAAATGTAGCCGTGGTGTGGGCTCCCAGCGCCGGCACCCTCAGGCCTGGGGGCACTGCCACCCTGTCCCAACACCGGCGGGCGGCTGGTGCTGCGCCCACCCTCTCTTCCAGCCGAGTCCACCAGGTTTTCGGTGACGGACTCTCTAGTGGAGAAGCAAAGATGGCTGTTCCCGGGCCACATGTGACCACCTCAGGTGTCTTGAGTTGGCAAACGTGAATCAGAACACAACTTCTAGAAATGGTGTAACTTGAGCCCTGAATATGATGTTTAGTGTAATTCTTCAAGAGAAACTCGTGTCTTGAGAGTAGAATCCCTGAGAACATGCACTTGGGACCTTAATCACACCCTTCTTCACCGAGAGCTCCCTGGCCTCACCCAAAAGCCACGCTTGGAGTAGTTACTTCCTCAGGCCTCTGCAGACTCCCATGGCCTTGTGCTCCTGGCCAGCCCCCGCAGCAGGGGTGTAGGAGCTAGGAGCTGCTACCGAGGCCCATGAGCTTCCTCCCCTATCAGGTGGTCTCTGTGACCCCGGTGGTGGTTTGGGGGCCACGCCCAGGCAGCCCTGGGCCACGGGACACCCTCTCTGCCTGGGAGCAGGCACACTGGTCTACTTGCTTTAAATCCGGTGCTGCCACCAACATAGCCAGTGCTCTGAGCTCCCAGCCTCCTGCCAGGAATTCCCCAGAGAACTTGTCAGACAGGCGTGCTCTGGTGCAGCCCAGCCTCGGGCCCCTCTTTCAGGGAGCAGCTCGGGCCTGCCTGTCCTTACGGGACAGCTCTCGGTGACGATACTGTCTGCAGCAGCGCCTCGGCGAGTGCCTCATGCCCACGTGCTTGCCACTGTCCTCACCGACAGATGAGGAACTATGGCACACAAAGGCTGGGTCACTCATCCGGGTCGCACGAGGACCAAGGGGAGCCAGGTTGTGACCCAGGCAGTGTGGCCCCGGAGTCCAGGCCCCTCATCTGTCACATGGCAGAAACTCCTAGACCATTTGAGAGACACCTTGGACACACTGTGGGCCCAGCAACCCAGGAGAGACCTAGGGGCACGAGGTGGAGGTCGGCCATGGGCACGGCGGGGATGGGGGTGCTTGACCATCTGGAACTAGACCCTCAGAAGCCATCCGGCCCTAGGGCCTCCACACCTAGTGCAGAAGCTCCTGTTTCATGTCAACTGAGACTTCCTAATAGTCCAACTAATTTTTAAAAAGCCCTCAAACGTTCTGTACCACGTTTCAACACTCTGTAGAAGACCAGCTCATTAGCTTCTGTGCTCACTAACTTTGTTTCCTTAGGAACCTATAAATTTGTCAAAAATTCAGCTCATTTAGTAGATGTGCTTTAACATGAGATTTCATTTGGGGGAAAAGGGGTTCCACTACCACAAAGCCTGAAATCCACTAAGATAATCGTACGTTCTAGAGGAGATGGCCCTTTGAGGTGAAGAGCCCACGCTAGCCCTGGGCCAGTGGCAGGCGGTATGCCCATCCCCGCTCAGCTGTCTCACCTGATCCTGTGAGCAGTGCTGTGAGCTCAACAGGCCGGGCTTCTTGACATGTTCTCCCAGCATTACCCATTCTAAAACATTTAAACTCAAAAACAGATGGCAACGAATTAGTTACGTTTCTCCAGCCGAACAGCCCTGGGCTCTTCAAAACTGGAAGAGAAAGAATGGAAGTAGCACTTCCTGAGCAGCTACATGCTGGCTGGCCCTTCGTGCAGAGCATCAAATGCTCACCACAATTAGGGTGCTGTGGATCCCCAGCCTTGAGAAGTGCGCACAGAGGTTCTGAGTGATCACTTGGTTCATCCAAGCTGGTACAGCTAGTACATGGTACAGTCAGAACCCAGCCACAGGCCAGGGTCCAGCCACCTTGCGTTTTCCTCTTCACTCTCCCCAGATGGAGGAATAAACGAAGCCCACCGTGCTTTGGTGGCAGACCCTAGATCAGAACTTAGATCACACTCATGCTAAGGTCCCCACTGCCTCGAGTCCTCATCAACCCCCTGGCATGTGCCCCACTGACACATCTCTGTGACTTGCCATGTTGTTTAAAATACAAAAAGAAGGGGCCTCCCTGGTGGCGCAAGATGCAGCAACCTATGAAGATGTCTGCAGCCTCTGCAGCACTGGTTCGATCCCCAGCCAGGAAGCAACCCGCATGGCACAGCAGACCTCTCCTGTCTTGCCTGCTGCTCCCACATGGCGTGGCCAATCTCTCCTGTCTCGCCCACTGCTCCCCTCAGCAGTGTATTTCGGTCAGTCTGCCTGTTCTGTTCCCCACTCTGTCTCTGGTGCATCCTCTCACCCCCCACACCTCTGACCTGTACCCCAGTTCTTGTATGCATAATTATGTAAATCTTTAAAAATAAAATACAAAAAGAACAGGAGCTGACATCCTGAACATGGTCAAATAAGCAGCTGCTGGCAGCCCTTCCCTCTAAAGCACCAGAAATCAACTAACTCATAGAAATCTCAGCCCCTTATCTCCTTTGCCTGGTTGACCTCGCATCTGTGGTTTGAGACTTTGGAAATATGACATAAAACACTGCGTGAGATGCACAACGTCCGGATGTGATAAATGTGTACATGCAAAATCATTATCACAGGATAGTTAACACAAATCCCAACCCCAAAAAACCTAAAAATTTCCCTTCTAATCCTGTGGTCTCTTCCACATCCGCAGCCCTTCTCCTACCCAGTTACCCACTTGTATAGTCTCCAGAGATGATTTTATCAGGATATGAGTCCACATGTATTTTTTCCCGAGTTGCAGAACCCTGGTTGTGACCCCTAAAATCCAAAGACAATTTAGCCTGACGTTTTTACTGTAATCTCCTATTAGAAGTAGACTCACACCCAGAGGGCTGGTGTGAGCTGCCCAAGTTCACACCATAGGACAAAGGAGAGTATAGTCAAAGAATGGCTCTGACCTGGGCTGGCCTCTGGATCCTGCCCTCCCCCTTGAAACCATGTTCTTCTCAGAGACCCTTTTGTGTTTCACTTTCTCCCCCACCACCACACCTCACTCCCTTTCCTCTTTTCTATCCCTGCTATAATCATTTACAATTCTCACCTACCTCCAGCATTGCTAAATTGGGACCAGAGGGGGCAGAACCTTAAAGATGAGTCCAACTCCAACACTTTACAGATGAGCCAACTGAGGCCCACAAAGATGCCTGCACATGTTCAGATTTCCACCTCATCTTGGCTCAGCTGTTCCATTTTCTAACCAACTCTCTCCTGTCCTTGTATCCCTTACTGAGGGGCCAGCTGACTGTAGTCAGGGGGATCATCAAAAACACGCGGCCCACCATCTACTGGCCTTTTGTTAAAGATCAAGTGCAAAAACACTGGACTGATCTGCTCACACCCCAGGTCCTGCCACCTTCTTTACTACCTCCTGTGACAAACTGAATTTTACCCATGAGCCTTTCAACGTGCTGGTCCCTTCTCACCCAAACTTATCAGCTACTTATCCTTCATGTTCAGCTCCCCGGGTTCCCTATCCAAGGTGCTCACAGCTCATCTCTCACCTCTACATCCCTGCAGCCACTGCCTGGGCCTGTCTTGTTCATCACTCTCCAGTGTCGCGCTGTGTTCCACCCCTCCACTCGCTATTTCATACGCTCAATCAAACTTTAATGGAAGAACGAATGGATGCTCCAGCAGAAAGAAGAGGATAGGCACCAGCAACTATTTAGTGGGAAGTCAGGCTGAGAGGTGTTCAGGGAGTAACTGGGAGGAATTAGGCTGAGACATTCCCTTACGTCTAACAGGCTCCTGTGAACATCTGTGCCCGGCACAGTGCAGACAACGCGCACAGAGACCGACCAGGCAGGGCCCCGTCAGTCCTGTGCTCAGCCCCACAGAAGCACCTGCACACCGCCTACTGTGCATATGGGGGAGCGGGGGTCTCCAGAGACCCAGTCAAGGACACGCCTGCAGGGTGCCCAGTAGGGCTGGGAGATGGACACCAAAGGCTGGGAGAGGGACATGGAGCTTGGATGCTCGATGCCAGCCCGGCCATTCGGAAGCAACCGAAGACTTCGGAGGAGATCACGAGAACATGAGCTCGCGGGCATGGGAGGGACAGCGGTGGGAAACCCTGGGGTCCGCGTTAAGAAATCTGTGCCCTCCCCAGCAAGCAGAAAGCCCAGCACAAGAGTCCGAGCGGGAACCGCCGCCTTCCCGCGCCGGGCTCAGGAGGATGACGTTAGCAGCGCGCAAGCTCGCTCCTGCCGCGCGGGGTATGCTGGGGCTTAGAGTGCCCGCATGACGCCAGGTCTCGCGAGCGGACGAGATTCACGCGCATGTCCGCGATTGGAGAGGGAGAGGTTGACCATCTGCCTTCTCAGCACAAAGTTCCGCCCCCTGGCCGGAACGAGCCAATCCCAAGGCCTACCCGTCCAAGCCGCGGAGGTCGGTGGGAGTGCTCACGTGACCGTCTCGGGCACGTGACTTGGCAGTCTGTGCACGTGATGCGGCGCCCGCGGCTTTTACAGTCAGCTCGGCTCCCGGCGTGCTCGGTTGCCGTCGCGCGTCCGCTGCGTGCCGGGCGGCGCGTCTGCTCTGTGCTGCCGTCTGTGCGGCGCCCCCCGCGGCCGTTTCTCGCGACCGCCCTCGCGAGGGGCGTGGCGGCGCTGCGGCGCAGGGGAATGGCCGCGAGGGGCCGAAGCACCGGTGCCAGGCGGGAAGCTGTCAGGGCGCGGTCGCGGGGCCGAGGAGAAAGCCCTGGGCCTTCGACGGAGGCGCGACCCGAGGGGCCGAAGCGGGCCGGGCGGCGGCCAGGGGCGGCGTCCTCGGAAGCAGCGTCGCAGGAACCCCGGGCGAAGTGCCTATGGCCCGCTTGGCGGCTGCGCCTAAAGGGAAAATATATTATTGAGCAAATGAATATAATAAAGATTCCAGCAGAACTTCCAGCCCAGGTGCAGTGAACACGCCAGTGCAGGCATAATCAATACGTCAGCTCACTTACAGCTCTTTCCCTTCCAA